GTGTTTGGCATTGCAGTGGCTCTCTACATGGCAACTCAGGGAGCACTCAGCTTCTTGAGCTCCCCAATTTTAGGCTGGAAGTCATTGCATTACCCTACAAAAAAAAAAAACAAAAACAGAACAATGCAGTAGCTATTAAGCAGCAAGCGTGAGAACAACCAGCAGTGCCCTTTAGTCAATGGCTCCTCTGGTGGGTCCAGTTGGTGTACCAAAACTGTCTAAGGATATGCCACCTCCTCTCGTGTGAAATCACCCTGGCGCAAAACCATTCTGCTTGGTGTGCATATTGTTCTAAAATGTACCCTGTACTTGCTTTGAGCAGAAAAAGCAAGCAGACAGATGTGAAAATGATTGCCATGAAGGAAAATATTTTCATTATACTCATGGTCTCCTAGAAACAGATGGCAGGTCAGTACACAAAGAGCTACTGGAGAAGTGGGGAAAGAATGGGCTAAGCAAGGTAAGCCTGGGGTACAAACTATCATTGGAAAGTTTAAGTAGTTTCTGTGGACTCTGTGCTATAGGGTCGATCCCCAGTTGTCTGAAAGGCTGGAGTTAGAATCTTGGACAGTAGAAGTCTGATAAAAGAAGTCTTGGACAGTAGAAGTCTGATAAAAGAAGCCAGGTGGTGGGTATGGACTATGGGATTGGTTTGCTTTCTACTTAAGCTTTGCTGGCAGGCAAATTGTTATCTCTTGGAATTAGTTAATCCTGAGAAGGTGGATTCCCTGGGTCTGGGCTCCAACTGTAAGAGCATCAGGAATACACAAAATAAGAAAACATAGTTAATATAATTGACCCTGTTGTATTCAGGCATCTTGTAGAGGTTTTGGTGGTAAATATGAGAGATCCCTTAGCAATGGAATAATTTATACTCTTGCAAGTCAACCACTGAAGACTTTAGGGAGTTTAAACAGAGGGAAAAGCTCAAAAACGCAGTTCTCATATTTATGACTTTGTCACATAAAAAGGCAATAGTAATTTTTTTAAGAACGTTAAAACTCTAGAGGACATAAGTTTTGAAATTACTTTTGAATTAAAGGAATGAACACATGTGAAATTAGTAACGTTTTCAGTCCAGATTATCACCAGAAGTTAAAAGCACTGTCTTTTAAGTGCTACATATTGTATTTCTGCTAGCAAGAAAAAAGAAAAATAAAAAAAAAAGGGTGCGTAGAATCAAAAGAGGGGGAGAGACATAAAAAAGAAAAAGGAGTAGAATATGATAAGAATTTGTAAAGTATTACATATTGGCAACAAATTATATCAAACTATATCTCAGTTATATCTTTGTATGAAGGTGTACTACAGGTGTATCCACAGAATGTAAAAGTGGAAAAGAATTGGTTTGACTAGGTGGAACGAAGAATAGGATGGGAAGACTATAACAGAGAGGTTCCATCTTATTGTATATGATTTTAAATCGATGGAGGAAATGTTATTTAGTTGTTGCCTGCACCACTGCTATGCTTTGCCCACATCTACTCCTGACACATGGAAGCAACCATTAAAAACAAATTTATTGTCTTTAGTTCTGGTGGATCATCTGTATGTTTAGTTAAAAATAGGCTTATATTGCTATTTAGTGATTTGCCAACTTTAGACAGTATATGTTAAATTCTTTTTTGATGGATGAGGATTTAATCCATATGTACAATCTCCCCCTGCACACTCTTTTCCACATTTATACTGCCATCTGCCATATGTCCACCATACACCTCTGCAACTTTAAGCTAACTTGCATTCCTTTTTCATGAACCTTTTTTTTCCTTCTTGTTCCAACAATCAGTAAGATGAAGACATTAGCACTACTACCCTTCTCTCACCTTTCATATGAAATTTTCATCAAGGGTGGAGATTATCTTACTGGGCAGAATCAAGAACAAGACAAAACGAATAGAAGTATTTTGTCCTCTTCTCATTTATTTTAGAATTATTATTTGGATGGGGCATATGAATGAATCTTTTTCCCTTAAAAATGACATTATATTCTTTAAAGAAGTGAAATGCTAGGCTAAAGGGTAAAAGTTTCATAATGATCTCACCTGACTGTGTCTAGATGTGCACAGTAATAGAATTTTGGGGAAAAATAATTCAAACTCTAAACTGATAGTATTTAAATTCTTTTATGATTTGGGAATGAGATCCAGGTTTTTCTTATAGCGTTTCCCTTAAGGCATTAGCCTAATGTTAGCGTAAACAAATATAGGCATTATCAGAATGATTTCTGGACATAAAAAAGCAGTTCTTATGCTTCCGTTGAAGAAGGAATGTGAAATAACACATACATAGGATTCTTTTTCTCTCTGGGGCAGGGAATGGGGTCCATACAAGGATGCAAAAGCCTGTTTTGACTCCTAGGGTCCTTTAAATAAGTATTTGCTGAATAAATGGGTTTATATCTATAATGGGTTAATAAAGGATTGGGGAGAAATTTCAGCTTTTAGAGCTTAACCTTATAATGAAGCTCTGCCAGAAAAGTACCCATTGCCACTAGCCAGAAGTCTTGTCTGGAAGGATTGCTCGTCTAATGCAGGATGGCACTGCATCTAATTTTACATGAGAATAACATGTTGAGATAAAAAATGCTGCCAACTAAACAACAATGCAATGATTTCTTGTCATTTAGTATTTTTATTTCATACTTAGTGAAATAATTTTCAGACTTAGAAACAGATTATTGTTACATATCAAACTTGTGCATGCAAAAAAGGGAAATGCAAATAAAATTGGTTAAGGTATTCCAAACACAACTTCGCATTTTTCTAAATCACTTTTTAAGTCAGTTGATGATGACTGTGGTTTCCATACAGGATTGTCTTCTGCAAGTCTTAAGAGTGCTCTGCTGTTTTTATTTCCCATGCTGCTGATCCTATTCTGCACGTTTTCATACCGGCATTTTCTTGATCTAATCAGAAGTCAATGGATTTTTTTTTTTTTTTTTAAGATAACATTTGGGATTCATTTTCCTTCTTTGATAATTTTTTTTTTGACTAAAACTTGGGTTGTAATTGACTAACCATATCATTGGGAATAATAACTAAATCATTTCAATATTTTCTGGTGGGAGCGTTAGGCTTATTATTGAACTGTCCAGATACAGCTTTCCAAAAACGCATTAGGAACGTACTTGCAGAATAACTCAGGTCTCCCATAAGTCTAATAGCTTTTAGCCAGTCCCGTATCTATCTTTTCTAAATGCTGGAGGAATCACCTTTTCTTCCTAGGAAAAGCTTTCCTATTTTTCTAGGAAAAACTCTGTTCAAGTTTGAGAGACTCCTATACCTGTTAATTCCCTCCTCTGTAGGGTTATGGCTTTTATTAAACAATGCACTTAATTCATTTGAAATAAAGACAATGTGAACAGCTAGCTACATCCAGCTTTCCATATATAGAGGCAATGGTAACTAGGTTTAATACAGCTCCCCAACCCCCACCGGCCAATATTAAGAGACTAGGACTGATTTCAGAGACATTAAAGTGTGAAAAATGTGTGTCTTAGCATCTGTGAAATACATTATGTCATGGTGGGTGGGTTAATATATAATGGATTTTCTTTCACCAATTCCAAGGTTAGGATGTGGAAAAGCTTGCCTTAAGAGAAATCGGTACTTTTTTTGTGTGTGTTTTGAAAAAAAAATCTGAAGGGGGTTGTAAACCAAACAGTTGCAATAGACAGATTTAAAGTGGGAGAAAGACGTAGTGGGGAAGACGGGAGCTGAAAAATACACAAAGAATGGAAACTATGAATGCAAAAGCAATGGGCAAATTAAAAAAAAAGGGGGAGGGAGGGACAAAGCCACAAGCTTATCGGGAAACCGTAATAATTATAGCAATAATCAAAGAACGAGGTAGCTCATTCTAAGATTATTTTCACATAAGAAGACATAAGGTCGCCAGTTGGAGGTTCTCTTCAATTTAGGTATGATTATTTTCCTTATTATAGATGATCATGATACGTTCAGTAGTGTGATTGATTTCGGTTTGTATCCCCCATTACACTACGCTGTTTTTGCACACCACTATATTCGCAGTGGGTAGTACAGAATATCACTGACTGACTGAGTAGATTTTGATTAATATTTGTAACCCTTTCATGTGCAGTGTAGGTCTTCGAATACCTAACCTTAAGCCTCAGTGTTTTCGTTTCTCAAAAAGATATAATAGGACTCATCATAAGATCCTATAAAAGAGGTGCCCTGAGGATGAAATGCAAGAATAGACATATAAACCTTAAACACCGTGCCTTAGCACAAAGCAAGAACTCATTGAACAGGAGCTTTTGTTAGATGCAGCTCACTGCGGGAAACACGCCGGATCAGTGCAGACTAGCCCCTCTAAGCCCCATTTTCTTTCCTACAGTTCATGTGTTGCTTTGAATTGGCAAGCGTTTTCTATTTAGCCCCTCAGATAATCAAACCTTGGTGTCTTTCTAGCGTCCTAACTGCGCTATGAGTCTAGTCATTTTGTTTAGAACAGGTTTGATTTCACAGGCTCGGAGTGGGGCCCTGACCCTGGAGGAAGTGTTCGCTTTAAAAGATGTCGGGGAGGGGAGGGTTGGGGGCGGGAGGAAGGGGGCTCCTGAGCCCGGGTTGGGGGTGGGCAGGGGGCGGTGCCGCTCCTCCTGCGTCAGAAGGGGCCTTGTTTTCGCACCTTCCCTGACGTCAAACCTCAATCAGGGCTGCAACGCGGCGTTGCCCCTGGAGGACTACGTGGGCTGAGTCGTGACTGGGGTCCGGGTCCTGCAAGTGACGCTCTCACTTCGCTTCTCCTCTCGCACCGGCGGGAGAGGCCGGTGGCTCCCATATCTGGCTGCGCGGGCAGCAGGCAGCAGGCGCGGGCGGCCGCGGCGCTCTGG